TAGGTAGGGGGCCTCTAATAATTTGGGTCAGTTTGCTTCCTTGTCCCTGCTCCATGGCTAGTGTTTATTTTTGTGTCCTCTTCTCCCCACTGTGATGAGTCTTAATCTGAGTTTGGAGGCAATGGAGATTCTTGCTCTTTGATCAGAAAATTAAGACTTTTGTTCTTTACCTCAATCCACTGCATATTAGTAATATCCACCAGTTATGACAATCAAAAAAAGTCTCCAGACATTATTAGAGTTGGAGGCAAAGTTGCTCCTTGTTTACTCCCTGACTCTCTTTTTTTTCTGGGCACTTTGGAGGTCCACGGATAAGAGCCTGTGCACACAGTTGGGCACATTCCCCTTGTGTTGGAAGAGGCCATAAGGTCTCCACTCAGATCACTGTGTTTTGTATCACTGTGACAAAACACCTGGGAGAATTCACTTAAAAGGAGAAATGGTTTTAGAAGTTTCCATCCATGGCTGACTGACCCTATGGCTTTGGGCCTGTAACAAGAGAATATGTTGTGGCAGGAGTGTATGGTGGAGGAAACTTCCCAACTCACAGAAGCTGGGGCTTGGAGGCAAAGAGACAGAGGATGGGGCTGGAGTCCAATATCCCCATTCAAGGGCATTTCTCCAATGACCTAACTTCCTTCCACAAGGTCCCACATTCTAAAGGTTCCTCCCTTTTCCAGTGGTGCCACAGGCTGTCCACCAAACCTTTAGGGGACATTTATCTAAACCATAGAAGTCATATTCAGTCTTTAGAAATATGTTAACAGTTTTGAGCTGAATTCTGCCTGGCTTATCAGGGGTCTGGTATCTATTTGCTCCAATAAGCAGGAGCTGGCATTCTGTCAATCCTAGGAGGCATGTAAATTTCTCCAGGTTTTTGGGTAATTGTTCTCCCCATGACATCAGCTCTCTGACCAGAGTTTAACAGCAGTTGTGAATGTACAGACTATTTAGGATATTTTTTTGGTCTTTGAAAACCAATGCAGTTTCCAGCATTCTATACCCTAAGTGGGAGCTAGAAGTCTGACATAGACAACTTACAAATTTTTTCCAACTATCCTCTAGAGCAATTGGAGACTATCAGAACTTCCCCACAGGTAGATTTCATCCAACACCTTCTATCCACATATTCAAGTGCATTCCTTACTCTGTTCTATGTACAGTGAGACCATGTTAGTGATCACTTTCTGTTTATCTTATTCCTCTTTTAATTCGTTCCCTCCAAAAGGATTTAGATGTTAGTACAAAGAACTACCAGGCAGAATGGGGGAGAAGTATATTGGAGAGCTGTGTTATGTTGGGTACCAGGTCTCCCCTCACCTTTTTCACCAAAGTTTCAAATTCAGATGCCTGGAGACGCCAGGAAAGAAATAGAAATAAAGTGTGCTGGATCTGTTTGCTCTTATTTTCACTTGTAGTCTGCTTTTGATGGTAGCAGGAATGGAGAGAAATCTTTCTTTATAAGAAATACAGGACTGCATGCAGAATGATCTGTGAGTATTCTCTCTCTCTCTCTCTCTCTCTCTCTCTCTCTGCCTAAGGACTAGGCATATCTATATCTATATCTCTACATATCTTTATCTATCTATGTATAGAATATAAATGGGGTTATGCATTATGACTATTATATACTACTGTCTTAAAGTTGCCTATTAAAGTTCTCCGTCTGTCCCAAGATCATGGCATTCAACATTAAATACTCATCAAGCATGCACTACTTTCCAGGTTCTTTTCTAGGCTCCTAGGATGCAGGAAAGAATTGGACAAGCCCTATCATTTTGGTTTGTGATCTGCAGTAGGGAGGGTGGGAACTGTTGGCCTGGAGAATATTGCTTACAAAGCATGCTGCTGCCACTTACCCTCAGCCGATCATTGTCAATCACAGAAGGGGTGACTCCCTGTTGGCAAAGTTCTCCATTTTCCAAGAGAAGCCAGTGGTCCAATTTTTTACTTTAAATTTCAATTTTCTTATTTTTAAATACTGGTTCAACTTTTAAAAAGAGTCGCTGTGGAGGTTAAAGGAAACATGTTGGCAAACAGACTGTGGCTTGCGACTTCTGTCTCACACCACCTTTGCCCTTGCTGGTCTGCCTGAGAAGAGAAATGCAGGGGAGTGACAGCTGTAGCCATGCTAATTCCCTTCTTTGGAGGCAGTGAACCAGTCATCAGATGTGGCCATCCCAACGCTTGATCTGCAATACAGGTTAACAATTTTGGGGAAAAAAAAATCAGCCTTCAATCCAAATCAGCAGCTTATCACTAACCTGGAATCATCAGGCTGTGGCAAGTTATATTACAATTATCCACCTGCTAGCAAGTTTGAGACTGGTTTTTGAAAAAAAAAAAAAAAAGATCCCTATTGTCATCCAGTCACATTCCAAAGGACATGGTACCCTGTGGTCCAAATTTGTGGTTACAATGAATTTTGTATTGGTGCTCATTAGTTTATTAAGTTCAGTGTTCCTGAAAAGGCCCTAACTTTTAATATTTTAAAAAATTTATACTGTTTATAACTTATTTCCCACGCCCCGATCTCCACTCCTCCCCCAAAATAGAGAGCTAGTTTGGGCTTTCTTGACACTGCAGTTTGCATAGTTTAGCAAATGCATGTTTTCTTACCTGCTCCGTATTTTAATCATCCTTTTTCACTTTTGGGGTCAGTTGTGCAGTGATAGATTTGTTGGGAGCTGTTGGTGGCTGTTGAAATGGTTACTTGTTGACAATACATTGTCCCTTAAACTGGTCATTTCTCCTTGCCACTCTTTACCCTTAACGTTTCTTCCATCTGTCTTTTCCCATTTCACTCCTGATTCGATTCACCCTTTCCTCAAAGTTCACTGAAGACCTATGCACCCATTCCCCAGGGCCTCTGATCCGGCTCCTCTGGCCTCCGGAACTAAGCCTCACTTTGACTTTTTCCATTCAATTTGCCAGAGCTCTTAGCTTAGAGGTGGTTTTCTATCTTTTAATTATCCCTTTTCACTTTTGGGGTCTTCAAATTAAGCTCCCAGGCATTGCATTGAGGGTACACTTAACATGCCAGTCTTTTCATTAGAGCCAACGCCTGCCCAAATCTTTCTGCCCTCAAGCCTGACCATGTATTTACAGGGTTCCCTCTGGCTCAAAGTGGGCCATTTGTTCCTCATTACCCCTATTCTGATGGATGCCCCTGAATTGTTGGGGATCTTACTACAACCCCCAAATTCTACTCACAGAAACTTGAAGACTGAGAGTCTTTATTGTAGACATTGCCTGATCTAAGCTTCCTGAGTGAGATTCCCAAGCAGGGAGGCACCCTGGGCCACACCCACTGTTCCTGAGACAGGGGAAGACCCAGCTTCACACCTTCTCCAGTAACAGCTGCTTGTGAGTGTGCGCTGCTGGTTTCTATCAGGCCACTTCTAGATTCAGCTACAAATTTTGTATGAGAAAACAAGAGATTTTTGATTTTGAATTTTTTTTTTTTTTTTTTACAATTATACTGAGTCTTACTGGACTGAAACCACATTCAGAATATTTCTGCAGAAAGATGTTTCAAGGAAGGGAAGTGACCTGCCTTATTTGAAAGTCTTCTGAGCATGCTCTTGATGTTAATCGGGGTAACCTGTGTGGGCTTTTTGAGTCACATGCTTTGGATCCTGTGTTTGCAAAATGCATTTATGATAACAATGACATGAATAACTTTAAAAATGGAAAATCTTCCAAAAGTCAGATATTAACTGTCATGTTCAGACCAAATCAAGGAAGTAAAACTGATTTCTGTTCCATGCCTTTTCCAAAATATATACTTTTGAATTACTCCTCAGTCACCATACTATGAAAACAACAACAACAACAAAAAAAAAAAAAAAAAAAAAAAAAATCAAGCAAGTAAAATTTCAGTAGACCAGCTAGAATTTTCTCTTTTTGATGTCAATTTGTTTTTGGCTAAATAATTTTACATGTTATTTTCCTTATTTTGGAATTAATCACTTACCAGAGTCTTTGACTCACATGTTTCTCTTACATAAAAATAAGTCTTTAAAAAATTAGCACTAGAAGGACTCTTTCACTTTTTAATACTGATAGCTATGTAAGAGGTCACATACCTTGTGAAGTGACTTTTTAAAACTATAATTAATAGTTCTGAGTTAAAAGAAGTGTCACATGTACCATTCATACATGATGTGTTTTGTTTTACTGCCACATACTAATAATCATTTCAAAAGGGGAGATTCCAAATTTACAAGACTCCTTTGGTGAATGTTTATAATAATTTAATAAACATTAAGACCATCATGCATTTAAAAATTTTCCTGTCTATTCTAACCATCCAGCTCCTGACTGTAGTTTAGTGCAATATTTCCATCTGTTGAAATAATATCAAATGGAATAGCTTGCAGATTGAGCTTGATAATTTATTGCATGACTCTAAGCAGTTTTAAGAGTGTTTAAAAACCCATTTCTTGCCATTAAGATTTTTAGATTCCATATCTTTGCTGCAAAATGTTTGCAGGGTTTAATCTCCTTGGCCCCTAAGTACACATATTTATCACTGACGTGATCAGATATCATGTATTTATGACAGTTTCAAAACTGGAACATAATTTTTAAAAGATCAACACGGGACAGTGGCCGGCAGTAACAACTTGTCATCCTAACTTCGATGCAGTCTGAATTTGTCACCTTTGAGGCCTAAGAAAGGAAGTTTTGTTTATGTAAATTGTCTGCATATTTCCTAGATGTTGTGTTTGTGAAAGGTTTTGAAACTTTATTGATTCCATTTTTTTTAAGGGTCTGGCTGAACAAAAACAGCAACACGGGTAAAAGGAAGACACCACATTAAATCGCACTGACTTGGTATTTAGACTTTTCGAGACCTTACGCAGCATTGTAGTTCTCCAACCCCAAATTGCTCCATAGATCTTACGATGGGGCAAATTTATTCTGGTGTACTATTTTTCTTTTTCAGGGGACCTCGATTTAAATCTGCACATTGCCAAGGGCAAGGAGCCAAGAACATGGATAGAGAGGTAAGATCGATGTCACCGTAGCCCCCTCTTTGATATTTCCCTTTGAAAACAGCCCTTTAAGCTTTATTTTTCATAATATTATCCATGGATGGAAAGAGTAAGAAGTGGGTAGAAATTTAGCCTCCTTGGTAGCACTCACGAGTAAAGAGGATGATTAATGAGTGTGGCCAAGGACGCAGTAGCACAAGAGAGTCTGTGGAAGTTAAACAAAAGTGCCTTCAGAATTTCCAAGGATTCCCATGATCCATAGTAGGACCTCACTGTGCCTGTCCACTCTTTCTATTTCTGATTAGATTTATAAACACAGCACCACATATTTTCATGCGGCTTATCGCCCAGGGGCAGAATTAGATTGACTGCACTGAAACTGTGAGGCTTGTGAGTTTTGGGCAAGGGCTAGAGCGAAATAAGTAGTGTAATTGTTTTTGCGGAGTGAACGTGGGACCTCCTCTGTTCTGAATTACACATGGCTCAACCCTCTGACCTAACCAGCCTCCGCAGTGGCTGGCAGAAGTCCTAAAGCTGCATGGAAAGGGTCATCGCTGCGCGAGCTGGAACGTTATCTGTCAGGCAAGATGTGGGCCAGCAACTCTATTCAATTACTCTCATTACTGGTGAAGCACAGTTGCGACCACCTCCACTCCATTTAACCCGTCATCCTCTCAGTTATTATTTTACCAGAAGGTGCCAAGCAGGGGGAGTTTTGGAATGCAGACGCAGCATGGATTCTTCCATGAAGAGACAGTTTTCATCATAGTTGCTCATTTTATTTTTGTTTATTAAATTTCGGATCCTCCTCCGGAAGGTCGTGTTTAAATAGTCAAAGGTTACTCTGGTAATTTTTGTTTCGAATATATAAGGTTTAGGGAAATAAGTCATGATCACACCTCTTTCGTTTTAATGAGTTTTATTTAAATTGTTTTTTTTTTTTTTTTTTTTTTGTGTGTGTGTGTGTGTGATGCAGGATTGAACACAGGGCCTTGTGCATGCAAAGCAAGCACTCTACCAACTGAGCTATATTCTCAGCCCAATAATTTAAATTATTTTTAAATAGATGGTAACCCATGATGTAATTCCTTGAAGTAATGAAAGCTAAGACAGATGCAGAGAATACTTTTGGGGGGAAAAGGTAGGAGAGAATTGCAGGTGTTGACATTTTTGCAGAGGTGGAGAACTCATTCTGCAATTCACAACGGTGAGTTGGATAAATATGTATCTCTCTAGCTGTAATTTTGTAGTCATGTACTTGAATATTTGTTTTGACCTCAGTAACTTACAGTTTTGAAGGCAACTTAAGCAGACAACTTGGGGTGTCCATTCAGGCACTTGACATGACACGCAAAACAGGTCCTGTTTCTGATCCTCTTCTAAAAACTTTTTATTTACTTTGTTTCGTCATCAATTTCACAAGTTAAAGGCCTCAATAGGTCTGTTATGCTTAGTAAAACTTGGAAATAATTTAGCATTTAAATTTTTTCTTCCCCATCTGAGGCATTCAGGCTGAATATTAATCCAGTTTTTTGTCCATGACATTTAAACATTTCTTCAAAGTGTACACAGCTTCATATTTTTTTTTTAAAAAAATAGTATTTTGTTTTACTCCGGGGACTCCAAAACATGAAAACAGGGATCAGCTACAAAAGAATCAAAAACGTTAAAATATCCTACAAGCCTTCCTCCCCTCCCCAGAGAGCAGCATCCAGAGCCCTCCCCAGCCTTCTTCTCATTAGCAGCAAAGGGTTTGCTCTCCACGTAATCTGACATGCAATGCTTGGAGCCGGCAGGTGCAAATTGCAAGCTGTTTCACTTTGGCCGTTATCCCTTAAATCGACAAAGTCATAGACTGGGAGAAAAAAAAAAAAAGGTTCCAGCCCAAGATGCATAAATGAAAGTCTGAACAGGGACACACCAGCTGGCTAGGAGCATTCAGTGCAGCGAATACTAAACTGACCTTTATGCTTCTTGCTGGGGCAAGGGGCTTCCACACTCTTACAACTGACATGATGCTCTCAGAGCAGCCTCTCCTGTTTATTGTAAAGGCGACACTGTGGCCGAGGTAGATGAGAACCAAAGCCAACATACCTGTTCCTGTTTGCCATCTCTACCCTCCTCCGAGCGATTCAGGCATGATTAGCTTCCTGGAGTTGGACCAGATTGACAGTATTTCTATCCATGTCATTTTTGGCTGATCCAAGCAAAGCCCCAGAGCAGTGAAATAACAAAACGATCACCACCACCCCCACCTCCCCCACCAGATGAATCTGCTGAGCTAGTCTGCCTAGAAAAAAAAAAAAAAAAGCAGTTGTTCATATTAGGAACACCTAACTTCATTTCACGGAAGAGACGTGGCACGCCAGGATGTGTAGGCATCTAAGGTATGCATTTCCATAAAGGGATTCTAACTCTGTCATTCCGAAGCTGCTTCTCTTTGTGACTTCCCAGTAGGCACTGGAACTGTTGTCTGCAAGAAAGAACTTTAACTTGAGCT